CCCGGGAAATGGATGAGTGGGGTTGCCGTTGAGGTTTTAATACCTTTCAGGCAGGTGCTGTCGATCTCCACCCAATTGGATCAAGACCCACGATGATGCGATGCCCAGCATCAACTATGTGATAAGATGCCGTCACTGACAGTGTACGGTATATGTAGTAAGCTTTCGCGTTGAGTGCTATCCATTCCGTCGGGTATCAACGTATTCATCATGCGGCTTACCACTTTCTTCTATACTGCCGCTCTTGCGGTTACGGCCATCGCGACTCCCATCTACGGAACGGATGGCACTAACACGACTTACGTCGGTCCAGAAAACGGCCACCTTGTAATCGTTGGAGGAAATCTGCAAAGCGAAAGCATCTACCAGCGCATCATTACCCTTGCTGGCGGCCCCAATGCTCCGATTGTTGTGGTACCTACGGCAGGCGGCGAGGAAACATACGACCAGAACTTCACGACCGCAGTGGCCTTTCGAAAGTATGGTGCCAACAACGTGACGGTTTTGCATACATACGATCCCGCGGTTGCCGATACCGATGAGTTCATTGCACCGTTGTTGAGTGCGAAGGGCATCTTCTTCGGTGGAGGTAGACAATGGAGGCTCGTGGATGCATACGCTGGCACCAAAACCGAAGCAGCGTTCCAGGACGTCCTCGATGCTGGAGGTGTTATCTCAGGATCGAGTGCTGGCGCGAGTATCATTGGCAGTTTCCTTGCTCGTGGTGACACCGCGAACAACACCATCATGATAGGTGAGTCTCTCGGATACATGTCACAGAAGAAAAAAAGCTAACGTGGTTTGCAGGCGATCATACTGTCGGCTTTGGATACTTGAAGAACTCGGCCATCGATCAGCACGTTCTTGTACGCAACAGGCACTTCGACATGTTCGAGATCCTGAACGCCTACCCGGAGCTGCTAGGATTGGCAATCGACGAAGACACCGCGCTGGTGGTCAACAAAAACGAGATGGAAGTCATCGGCAGCACGTATGCGTTGGTATACGATGGTGGTTTCTGGTCGAGAGAAGGAAGCTGGGAGAGGCCCCTGCCGCCGTCCAATGCGAGGTTTTACTTTCTGCGCGAAGGTGATAGGTATGATCTTGGGGCTAGAGCAGTCATCGAGCCGGAAAGCACTGGCAGTGGTGACGACGCATGAAAACGCTGGATTGATATGATGGAGAAGGCCCTGCCCATATCTATGATGGAACGTCTTGCGAGGCCCAAAGTCACGCTCTTCTTGGTAAAGCATACTGTTCATGGAGCTAGGGTAAAACTCGGTGACGACTGCGAAGGTGGATAGCTACCAAAGGGTGTATTCTTGCATAGGCTCGTCATCGAAAGCTCGAAAAATGGCCTCTTGAGCTTCAAATCCTTCTTCGTATCTCGACTGAATCTCCTTGTCTGACAAGCCATACTGCCTCTTCAGCTTTAAATATACGCGCGGCATGTATACCTCAGTAGCGGTACAATCCTCCTTGTTCCGGAATGGAAATTTTCCAAGGTGCAGTAGCCCAATCCGCTGCCATCGCTCTCCAGCGGTCTTGTCCTTGGAAATTAGGAGACATGATAGCGCCTCATCTGGATATGTATATGTAATCTTGAGTCCATGTTCAGGTATTGAATGCATCGCTACTCCATAGGATGTGATCTTCCTTCCAATTGGGACAATGATAACTTGCTGTAGAGCCTCCGCTTTGATCTTGGTTGTTCGTAAGCTGAACAGTGGACAAACATGATGATTCAAGCGAAGGGGGGCGTCGTCACCCGCACGGAAAGTTACAGTATATCCTGTCGGCGAGGTTGGGTCACGCTGGATGTTTGCGCGAACTCCTTTCGCTTTGATCCGGATATATGCAGAGGTCAGCTCCCCGTAAGGGTCCCTGCCCGCTGGTTCGACAACCGCTTCGACAAGCTCTGCAAGCGGCCGTTCGACCTCATGAAATTGAACCTCGTCTACCGATTGTGTAGACGCCCATGACCAGGATGGCGCTCTCCAGTGTTCTGCGATCATTTCTGCTTCTTCTAGACTCCTGAACCAGAGCAGATCTGATATGAGGAATTTCTTCCACAAGCCGGCTACATAATCGTCATCCATTGTTTTGCCGAAAACTTGAGCGATTCCAGACAAGGCTGGTAAGCAGTCTTTTGGGAAGGTAAGGTCCAGTGTGGAGTAGTCGGTCACGATAACACGCCACATCTCGTGGGGGTCTTTGGGGTCCATTATGTCAGAGAAGGGATCGCTGGAACCAATGCTGGTCTCATCGCTGGTCTCATCGCTGGTCTCATCGCTGGCCTCATCGCTGGCCTCATCGTTGGGTCCATCGGCTGCGGACTCTCTAGGTATCTTAGCTCGGGGATCCCAACCATGATGGCCTTCACATTCGCAATCTCTTTTCTCGACGCACTCCCAAAGCAGCTCCTCGCTGGTAAAGTAGATGATGCGAGGCGAAAGAAGGCGTTCCTGATGAACCCAGCCGCGCTTTAGCAACGGAAAAGAACCGTGCTCTAAAGCTTGTCTGCCAAATACAGGAATTTCGACTCCATTTACCGTAAGTTCGACAGGCATTTTCTCAAAATTACACCTCCGATCGCCGTGAGACAGGAGTCTAGAGTTAGAGTCCTCAGCCACAGCTGCTGCCAAGGTAACATAGGAGTTGCTGTAGATCTCAGCCATCGCACCGGATTGCTTCTGCCAGTCCACTGCATCGTCTTGGATTATACACACGCAATCGATCCATAGGTAATCGAGTCCAAGCCCACGTGTAAATGTAATCGCGTCTTGGAAAGTTTGTGGTATGGTTAGCCACGGAACATCCTGTTCAAACTTCTTCATTGTTACCGCGTTTGTCTGTAACATCAGGGTTGAGCCCCATCGGTGACTGAGACAAGCGTAGTGTCCACGCTTCCCCTCTGTTCGAGCAAGCCGTACTCTTCCATCGCGGAGATCCAGTAGCCTCTTCGGCAAAGGTGGGAGCTTATCGGTTCTGCAAGCATGCTCATTGTCGCATTTGTTGATCCAGTCTAATGCCATGGGTAGATTCGCCCCGAAACTCGGATCACATGGTTGTAGCATTCGCCCAACATCTGGCCCGTAAGTCCCCGTGCCACCGAACTTCACTTGTCTGTCATATATCTCAGACTCCTCGACCAGGTCGCTTTTTTCGACGACCCATTCGAAAAGCTTCTTATCAAACTCAAAGCTGTCGAATAGAAGGTCGTGATCATAAAGAACGAGGGCGGGCAAGTCCTGAGAGTCTTGAGACATTGTGTACCCAGAGTCCAGTACGATCTTGCGGCGTAGGATACATGCTGGACAGCCCGATCGAACGCACACCCCCCACGCATCCCAGCTCATGGTGAAGTCCGACCGCCGTCCAGCAGCCGGACAAACGTCAACATGACCTTCACCGACTGACGTTGTCACTACAATTTCATCTCCAGACTCGGCCCTTTCGGCTTGGGGATCTTCAAGCTGTGCGGCCCGTTCCTTGGACATTTCGTCTGCGAGCTGATCGAGCCTTGCTAAAAGTCTCTCTTTCTCGGACGACAACGATTCAAGTGATAAATCTGTCATGCTCATGTCTATTGTCGGTTTCGGTGTTTCAGACTGATCCATCTATCGAACTGTTATCGCTCCTGGTGACCTTGGTCAATCGGATGTAATTCGCAGAACAAGACCCTGGCACCGACAACAACCTTGGAAGAATAGATCGCGCTAAGCGTTGCCATATGAAAGCACGTACAAGTTCCCAGAGCTTATCTGAATACTATGCTGACGTATACAAGGATAATATGATTGTCAATGTATCTGAAAATGGTGATGACTAGAATCATAAGTACCTAGGTATTAGAGTGAATGATGCGGCACGGACTGGGTGCGCGTCTGCCCCGCACCTCGTGACCCCTCGATGCTTGCAAGCGAACTGCATCGGCAGAGGCGCGTGTGGAGTATGCAGCCGTATTGCCAAGCGGCAACTCTCGTCACAAAACCGCTATACATTGCGACCGTGATGTGACGGGTAGTAAAGTTAACGCGCAGTATGTGCTGCGACGCGTGGATGCCTCCTGAATCGTGCCTCGGCATCTTTCGGTTCGGCGCTACTTTGAGAAAGCGGAGAAAGTAAGCTGACGGCGACGAGCTCAACGATGCGACCTGTGGCTTGGCTGCGTTATCTGAATATCCCGTATCTCTTAATACTCCTGCATACTATAGCTCTTTTGCGCGCTCAGACATTTGCATTCTCCCAAGCCAACAATTGCGCGTCGAACATTACGTCATCATGTCTAGAGGTTACGAAATCATCGCCATCCTTAAGCCCAAGCCTGGCAACCAAGACAGGGTACGCGCGAAATTCGCACCCAGAAGTGTTCAAACCACTAACACCCTGCAGGTGGAAGAACTGCTCAACATTGCCGCCCAAGAAGTAAAAGCCACCGAACCCGGCACCACCCGGTATCACCTACAGCGCGAAACCAAGGGCGACGCGCCGAGCTTTGTCATCTTTGAAACGTATGTCATGCCGCGAAGTCTTGGGCAAGTTCAAAACTGATAGTCATCAGATATGCGGACAAAGATGCTCTGATGTTCCATGCCAAGAGCGCGGGATTGAAGAAGCTACAAGCGGCGGTCAACGGGGAGGACCTACTTAGGGAGCCGATGTCGGTTATGATTGTTAAGGATGTAGGCGGGTTCAAGAGCAAATTGTAGGCTAGGTCGAACAAGGCATATTAGACGATAATGAAGGAAGAGATTACATCACCAAGCATACGTAACGAGAGTGTGATCTGAGGGGATTCATGCTATATCGGTCGAGCTTTACTAACAACTAGCTAGGTAACGACCTTTCTCTAAACCATTGCTAACACCCCTGGAAACTGTGCACGCGTCGTCTGCTTCAGGTAATACAAGCCGAAATATGGACGCCAACTTCGACATGATAATTCTCTGAACGAGAAGACAAAGCCCACGTTGCCTGACGCCGAGCTCACAGCAGTACTAGAAGTCGTAAGGCGAGATGCGGGGCACCTCCTCTGAAATTCCCGACTTCCAAGTCATGTAGTACTCCTCGAACTTATCCTTGGTGATTTGCTCCATGATCCACGCCTTGTCGCGCTTCAGCTCAGGCTCCTCATCTGAATGCACACTCTCCCCCTCCGACTCGAAGACATCCATAAGACGATGCTGATGATAGTCGGCGAGGGCGAAGACATGTATAGGAAGAAGAGGTCTCTTGTCTTTGCGCATGACGACAACAGAACCAACGTCATTCTGCCATTCTGGTGGCGCGAGGCCCCAGTTGAAGGCGATGTTTGCACGCTCGGGCTTGCAGCCAATATTAAGGAATGTACCAGCAACATTGACCCAAGACGTGTTGCCCGACGGAGTCTCTGGTCGCTGTTTCCATTTGACGACACTTCCAGGAATGCGCTGAACAGTAAAGGGTTGTTCAATGTGCTTTGAGACATCGGTGGCTGCGTGGAAGAACGAACGGTAGGCCGAAAGTTCCACAGGCTCATAGCGAGGGCGGCCTTCAACTTCGACATCACCATCGCAGTTGATGCGTACGCCGACCACGCTACTCAACTCTTCTTTAATATCCTCAATTGTCGGACCAATAGCGTACTTGAAGTAGTAAGTGTTGAGCTTGTGCGCGATAATACGAAGGTCGGAAGGACCGAGATCTTGGCTGTAAGACGGGTCTTGACTGAAAGGAACGTCGTCGAAGGCATCAGTCCCATACGCAATCATCGGACCCCGCCAGGCGTGTAGGTGAGGAGAATGGGAGTCGATGATCTTGTCGATGGCCATGTTGTGCGTCGATCCATCGTGGAGAAAGTTCTCGCGGTAGGACAAAAACAAGTTGTACGGGAGACGACGGGCGAGCGCGTGATTATGTCGGATCTTCATATCTGTCATACCAATCTCTTCTGCAGACTCTGTTTCCTTCTCGTTGTTGGCGGCTAGCGCACCGGGGCAAGCTGTGAGGCAAGGGTGTCCGTACTCTCCATCTTTGGTCACGGTCTTGAGCCAAACGAATCGTGGTGCGCCCTCGTCGGGATGGAAATAGATAGCGCGAGTGTACTTCTCGCCAGGTCCTTCGGCCTCGGGGCGGTCTTGGAAGTCCTTGACGGATTTGCAGAGAATCTTGTGAAGAGGCCACGCCTTCTTCTGGCACTCTTTGGAACAGTACCAGCTTGAGCTGCAACCACTGCAACGCAGTTTGCTCTCGTTGTCGCATTCGTCGCAAAGCGTCATCGCTGTCTTGATCGGCCGTTCAGTATCGGGGCTGGGAAAACGTGTGGGAAGGAGCGGATGACAAAAGGTGGTAAGAGCCTCTCATCGTAGCAAACAAATATTGTGGTCCGAGCGCAGGTGAAGGTAAAGATGAAGAAGGAAGTAGATTCACGTGTTGCAAGGGTTTCAGTAAGAATTGCAATCACTTGTTAGATTGCTATATACATTTCATATGCATAGTATACGAAAGTCCATTTACATGGTGCTCTGGAACTCCGCAGGCTCAGCGCCATAGTCGCTGCCGTAACCTCCGTACCAGTAGTCACCAACGTACTCGACGCCCTGAGCGGTCTGGTTAGGGCGCTGGGGCCACATGTCTAGCATCGCATGCTCTCCAGTCAAGGTAAAGTTGACGCTCGCAAGCGGGTGGTTGTCGATCATCATGGTGTAGTCACCTGGGTACAGGACCTTGTTGCCCATCTCGTCGACCCTGGCAAGAGATGCGAGAGTAAGGTTGAGAGTGGCAGTGGCGGATGAGCCTCCAGCAATGTTGTGAAGACGCTTGTAAGAGACGAGCGACTTCTTGGGGTGGGGCGCAGGACCGAACTCCCCAGCAATGTAGCCAAGAGTAACGTAGTCAGAGCTAACATCGCCATCGTTGGAGACCTCAACATCGACGGATACGAAGGGGCAACGCTCGAGGAAACCTCCAGTGCTGTTGCAGTTCTGCGTGAGGGCAGAGATGGCGTAGCTCTGTTGAAGCTCGCTAGTGACTTCAGCGGAGAAGTTGGTGTAGTGCAGACCGTGACCGAACTCGTAGACGGCGGAACCGTTGTACCACTTGTAAGTGCGACCAGGGTTGTTCTCACCAGGGCGCATGTTCATGTCCATCATGGAGACCTGGGCAATATAGTTGGAGGGGTACTGAGTCGTAGGTAGACGTCCAGCGGGAGCAGTCTTTCCGGTGACAATGTCGATGATGGCGGAACCTCCATCCTGACCAGGGTATCCGGCCCAGAGGATGGCAGAGATGTTGGGGTTGTTGACGAGAGGAGTGTTGTCAATCTGTCCACCTCCAGTGACCACGACGATGACTGGCTTTCCGGTGTCGGCGAGCAGGCTGATAACATCAAGTTGGGCTCCGGTCCATGTGAGATAAGTGCGGTCGTCGTCTTCCGCCTCAACGCTGTTGTCAATACCACCAACGTACATAAGGACATCGCTGGTAGAGTATGCGCCGTAAAGGTTGGACCAACGGTTGGTCGTTGGGTCGCCCTGGCCACCAGGGTTTCCGCCAGCATAGTTAATGGTAATGTTGAGCTGCTCAAGAGCGTACAGAGGAGAGTGAAGGTATGTAGCAACACCGGCGTAGTTACCGAGGAGCTGATCGGTTGCGTTCGCCCAGTCACCGAAAAGTCCGATTGACATAGATGAATCGACAGAGAGTGGCAGCGTACCATCGTTCTTCAGCAGAACGATACCTTCGGCTGCGGCCCTGCGTGCGAGTGCCTGCGAAGCGTTGGTGGCAACCGCGTCAAAGCCGAGCTGACGGTAGGGCTGGTCGTCGGCAGAGTCGAAGTATCCAAGACGGACGAGCGAGGAGTATTGGCGGACAAGGGCCTGGTCAAGAACAGCTTCGTCGAGCAGACCTTGCTGAACGGCAGCGGGAAGGTGCTCCTGCATGTAAGTACCGCACGTAAGATCGGTACCGGCCTTCAGGGAGTCGTAAGCAGCGCCTCCACGAGATGATGACCATTGGTGCGGGAGGTAGACGTTCTGAACAGCATCACAGTCGGATGTGACCCATTGCTCTTCGTTTGTCCAGCCCCAGTGCTCACGCAGAATGGTCTGCAGCAGGTAAGGATCGGCACATGGTGGGGCACCATTGACCGCATTGTAGCTGCACATGAAAGCACCGACGTTCGCCTGGACACAGGCCTGGAATGGAACGAGATAGTACTCAACCATATCCTGCTGAGAGATCTCCACGTCGTTCTGGTAGCGAAGGTTTCCGTTCCAGTCTTCAACGTCATAACCTGCGAAGTGCTTGCAAGTTGCGACGACACGCTTGTACGGGTCAGACGCGTCACCCTGAAGACCGTGGATCAAGGCCTGGACGTAAGATGACAGATGGTAGGAGTCTTCACCGGGTGTCTCCTGTCCGCGTCCCCAGCGAGGGTCACGGAACGGGTTGATGTTGGGTGTCCAGAAGTCAAGACCAGTCCTGTTCGCGTTGTTGAAAGCACGCGCTTCGGTGGAAATGACCTTTGCAACTTCGGTGATGAGTTCATCGTCGAAAGCCGCACCCATCAAGATGGGCTGGGGGAACGAGGTGGAGTAGCTAAACTCCCCCTCATCGCTGAAGTTGGTGTAAGGGCCAGCAATGCCGTGAAGGCCCTCGTTCCACCACTGGTAAGGTGGTATGCCGAGACGAGCAACGCCTGGTGAGCCACTGCTTGTAGCATTGATCTTCTCCTCGAGAGTGTAGAGAGACACGAGGTTTCTCGCACGAGCTAACGGAGCTGGAAAGCGTTAGTATGGCCAAAATGTCGTGTGAGTGGAGATGAACGTACATGCCGAAGGATCGCAAATGGTCTCATTGCTCAAACGTCCACTGCTGCAGTCCGGGAATACGTATTGAGCATACGCTCCTGTCGCAGCGAAGGCCAACACTTGCAGCGCACGCGTCGAGGTAAACATGACGCCGGTTGTCTGGTTTGGTTCGGATGGTCCGGATGCAGCTCGTCGTCGTCCTCACTCCATGTCTTATAGCACAGTAAATAGCCGTAGTCACCGACCCTGCGTCAGCACGCGGTTGGTAAACACCATGGCCCACGATTCCTGTACGTCATGGTCTCGTCGGCCACGCGGTTGAGCAGCGGTCGCAAGTCCACTTATTTCCGAGCGCCGAGCCAGTCTTGTGTCCGAAGCCACTCCCGATGCTTGGCCCAGAGGCATACGGCAGCCAAGAGTGTACCCGAGCCGCATGCGGAGCCCCATGGTACTTGCAAAATCTGTGAGGGGTTCGCGCTATGTGGATCTCCCCGCCCTCCGATTGGCTGCGCGTGGCTATGCATTCAGGCTGAATGTAAATCTACGACTGTAAGCATCACACCCGAGAAGCGGTAAGTTTAAGGCACGGCAGCTACACGTACAAGACGTCGGTGAAATACTGGAATTGCAGGATGGTCTCGCATAAGCATCAGCCGAGCATCCGCAAGGGCTGCGCCAATGTGGGCTGACGGAAGACGGGATGGAACCTTGATGGTATTTGCTTATGCCTCAACAGCCATGCTTCCAACCTTGGAAGTTACCTACCCCAGGTTCCGTCAGTGTCGCGCGGCAGTTTGTCAACGTGCATCAGGCAACAAGACTTGACCGTATGACAGCCATGGCACATTTCCTAATTTCCCATGACACGTCGACCCCAATCCGCCATCCGCCCCTCCCGAGTCAATACATACACACATGCGTTGCGGAGCAGGAGCCCTGGGATGGTCCATACTAGCGACCGCCACTGATGTCGTCTATTGACCCGAACTGGCAGCCGTTGCCGCGCTTACTGTGGCCAGTTGGACTTCCTAACGGTCATCGGCATGCCATCTCGTGGTTTGGCCTCGAAAACAAATTCCTGGTAGGCGCGATCACCGAATGTCAGATCCAGATTATTCCACTCTGCTCGAGGCGTCTTGTTGGGTTTCAGATCCGCGCAAGTAAAGTCGAAATCGCGTATTGTCAGCAGGAATACGATCACAAACTCGTCCATAGCCAGCGGTTGGCCCAGACACGCACGCGGTCCTCTCTCGAACGGACGCCAGGCGTGCCGCGGATGGTCTTCGCGTGTAAACCGATCTGGGTCGAACTTGAGCGGATCTGGACGAAGCATTAGCCACCGGATGTGTGTTACAAAGAAGGATCGATAGATGTCACTTGCCTGGGAATATCGCTGGATCCATATGCATAGCCAGTTGGACGGGGCAGATCATGCGATCTTTGGTCGGCCATTCGCGACCCTGATACGTGAGAGTATCGATGCCCTTGCGTGCGGTATTTCCTATCGGATAGAACCTCAGGACTTCCTTGATGACGTTGTTCGTATAGGTGAGCTCATTCAGCTTATACGGCTCCCTCTTCAGCATCTCGTACGTCGCTTCGATACCAGGGGTGAAAACACGGTCGTGCTCTTCGCGCATCCTTTGTACCACTTCAGGGTGAACGCTAAGCAGCATAGCTCCGAAACAGATGGTATCCGACGTAGTTCCAAGTCCAGCGATCAAAAGAGTCTTTACTTGTGTGAGAGCATCTTTGGTGAATTGGGGGTCGAGCTCCTTTACGTCACCCTGTCGCTCTGCAATATAGTCTCGCAAGATGAGGTCCATGATCCCTAGTCCTCGCTTCTCCGAGAGATCGAGCTTGTCGCCTGCAGCTATGTGTTAGCCGCACGAAGTTCAAGTATGCAGGGACTCCATTGGATTTCTTACGTTTGACTATCTCGAATCTCTCTTTGATGAGCCCTTCCACAATAGCATCAAATTTTGCGCGTTCGGCGAAAACCGTCCGATTGACGAAGAAGTTGCGGATGTAGTTATGAGACTCTCGCGTGATCATAAAAGCACGGCACATCTTTTCAAAGTGCTGCAGAGCAGGGCTACCTTTGGTCTGCGCGTCAAGGGATCGGCCAAAGGTCATAGTCGATATGACATCAAACGTCATGCACAGGGTATGGTCCTCTAACCTGAAAACCTCCCCCGATTCAGCTTTCTCGGAAAGAATCGACCGAAATTTCATAACCTCGTCAGCAACCATCGGCCTCATCTTGGTGATGTGCGAAGTGGCGAAAGCAGGACTCAACATTTTATGGAGATACTTCCATTGTGGGCCGTTCGTTGTGACGATGTTGCCGCTTCCGATCAAGGGGTCGACCATAGTTGCCTCCATTTCGTGTTTGGGGTGGTTCCGGATGACTGTCATGTCAAGTGCAACATCCGGATCTGTCACCACAACTTGCTGAAATGAGACAG